ACTCCGCGGCATGTGGGATCTTCCTGGACCAGGGCACGAACCCATGTCCCCTGCATCGGCAGGCGGACTCTCAACCACTGCGCCACCAGGGAAGCCCTCATTGTGGTTTTAATTTACACTTCTCTGATGATTAATGATGTTTAGTATCTTTTCATGTGCCTGTTGGCCATCTGTATGTCTTCCCTGGAAAAGTGTCTATTTAGGTCTTCTGCCCATTTTTAAAATCAGGTTGTTTGTTTTTTTGATGTTGAGTTGTATGAGCTGTTTACATATTTTGGATATTGACTCCTTATTTCTCATATCATTAGCAAATAGTTTCTCCAATTCAGCTGGTTGTCTTTCTGTTTTATTGATAGTTTCCTTTGCTGTGCAAAAGCTTTGAAGTCTAACTAGGTCCCATTTGTTTATTTTTGCTTTTATTTCCTTTGCTTTAGAAGACAGATCCAAGAAAATATTGCTATGATTTATGTAAAATAGTGTTCTGTCTATGTTTTCCTCTAGGAGTTTCATGACCTCCAGTCTTTTTTTTTTTTAATTTTTTTAAATAGATTTGTTTTATTTATTTATTTATTTTTTGGCTGTGTTGGATCTTCCATGGCTGTGCACGGGCTTTCTCTAGTTGCTGAGGGCTTCTCACTGCGGTGTCTTCTCTTGTTGCGGAACACAGGCTCCAGGCGCACGGGCTTCAGTAGTTGCGGCGCATGGGCTTAGCTGCTCTGCAGCATGTAGGATCTTCCCAGACCATGGCTCAAACCCGTGTCCCCTGCATTGGCAGGCAGATTCTTAAGCACTGTGCCACCAGGGAAGCCCCTCCAGTCTTACATTTAGGTCTTTAATCCATTTTGAGCTTTTTTTTTTTTTGGCTGCATCGGGTCTTAGTTGCAGCACGAGGGATCTTTGTTGAGGCACGCGGGATCTTTCATTGCGGTGCGCGGGCTTCTCTCTAGCTGTGTTGTGGGGGCTCCAGAGCGCGTGAGCTCTGTAGTTTGCAGCATGTGGGCTTAGTTGCCCCTCAGCATGTGGGATCTTAGTTCCCTGACCAGGGATTGAACCCGTGTCCCCTGCATTAGAGGGCAGATTCTTTACCACTGGACCACCAGGGAAGTCCCAATTTTGGGTTTATTTTTGTATATGGTATGAGAAAATGTTCTAATTTCATTCTTTTTTAATTTTAATTTTTAAAAATAGATTTATTTATTTATTTTTGGCTGCATTGGGTCTTCATTGCTGCATGCGGGCTTTTCTCTAGTTGCGGCGAGCAGGAGCCACTCTTTGTTGTGGTGCGTGGTGCGTGGGCTTCTCATTGCGGTGGCTTCTTTTGTTGCAGAGCACAGGCTCTAGGTGCATGGGCTCAGTAGTTGTGGCACACAGGCTTAGCTGCTCTGCAGCATGTGGGATCTTCCTGGACCAGGGCTCGAACCCATGTCCCCTGCATTGGCAGACATATTCTCAACCACTGTGCCACCAGCGAAGCCCTAATTTCATTCTTTTACATGTAGCTGTCCAGTTTTCCCAGCAGTGCTTATTGAAGAGATTGTCCCTTCTCCATTGTATATTCTTGCCTTCTTTGTCATAAATTAATTGACCATAAGCATGTGGGTTTATTTCTGGGCTCTCTATTCTGTTCCATTGATCTATGTGTCTGTTTTTATGCCAATACCATGCTGTTTTGATTATTGTAGCTTTGTAGTAGTTCACAACATTTTCTGATTCTGGTTTTGGGTGGTGATTTAGAAAGAGGGTCTCCCCAAATTCTCTGCCAAAGACTCATCTTCCCTAAGTTTAGTTCTTACCTTATTGGTCTCAGCAGGAAGCAGGGGAGAAAACTCAAAGCATTTGCCAGAAGAGGGTTTAATGAAGGAACTATTTACAGAGGTGTTGGCAGGAATGGTGAAGCATCCTGGGCTCACAACAGTGGGATAGAGTCACTAGCCCCAGGGCCTGAAGGGGCAAGGGAGGGAGCCTTGTTAAGGAACCTGGCAGAAGTCGTGCCCTGGGGTTGCAGGCCACCCAACGGGAGCTGTGCCTTTCAGTGGAAGAACATAGTAACTGTCAAAATCACAGTATTATAAATATCCTGATCTCACTCTCCTCCTTCCCTCTGATCTGGCAATGTCTCCTACTGGCCAAACTTTTCCTGAAACCGTAAGGCAAGGGGGCCCAGGTGAGACTGTCAGTGGTAGTCAGCCCCAGGACACAGGGCAGGGCAGAGAAGCACAGAGAATGAAGGGTAGGCAAAGAGTAGCCAGCCCAGGGGCTTCTCCTCTCTTCGTGGACTCGGCTTTGTGGAGGGGCTGAGAGACAGAGTGGCTGTGCTTGTCTCTCCAAGCAGTCTGTGCCTGACGCCAGAATGCCCTTTCTCCTCTTCCAGGCCCACGTTACTTCGTCCGTGAGGTTGTCCCCAGTCCTGGAGTTAATCTCTCCCATTCTTGGCTTCCTTGGTTCTCAGTGCCTAGCCCATCACTCAGCTCAGTGATTTAGCATTATTCTCTGCAGGGGTTTGTCGCCCCAGGGGACAGTTCTAGCATCCTCTACACTGTGAGCTCTTTGCAGGCAGGGCCCTGGGCCAAAGAAGGCCATTTGCTCTGACACAGGACCCAGCGCAGGCCAAGTGCCCATGTTTGCCAAGTGAACGGAGTCCTGTGGCCTCACCCACCTGCCTCTGCCTTGGTGTACACGGCCTGGGCACATGTGTATGTCTGTTTCCCTGAGTACAAAGGGGTTCCTTGGTGGCGAGTGGCCCAGGCCAGGCACACAGCAGGCATCAAATGTTGCCTGAATTGGCCTAGGGAGGACCATCCTCCTTTCCTTCATTCATTCAACAACTTTTTGAGATCCTACTATATGCCAGGCCCTGTGCTGGGCCCTGGGGACGCAGAAGTGAACAAGGCACACAAAGTCCCTGCCTTCATGGGGTTTCCATTCTAGTGGGGGAAGCAGAAAAGGAAGGAATGGAAAATGTACAATATTATTAAAGATTGCAGTACGTGCTGTACAGAAAATAAACAAGATGATGAGACAAACAGTAAAAGGATGGATATTTATGTGGGAGAGGAGCACATCAGGGAAGGTCTTTCTGAGGAGACCACATGTAAGCTGAGAGCTGAAGAAGAGAGGACATGAAGAGCTGGAAGGGTGTTCTAGGGAGAGGGAACAGCAAAAGCAAAGGACCGGAGGTGCTTCTGGGACGCTGGGGGATTCAGTGTTTCAGCCTAAAGAAGGGCTTAGGGGGAGTTTAAGAGCGGTTAAGGAATTAGTCTTGGGGGCGGCCCGGGGCCAGGTCCTGGGCTGAGGGTTGGAGGGGAAGGGACAGCCCTTCTTAATGCCACCCTTGCTGCCTGTTGCCTAGCACCACAGCAAATAGTGCTGCTGGCAGGCCCTGCCCTTGCTCCCTCGGCTCCCCTCTGACTGGCAATGGCTGTCAAATGACCAGCCCCGGAGGCTTTGCCAACCTCCTCCCCTGGAATATTTTAGAGGTAAGTCAGAAAATGACCAGCAGCCTCCAAAACTCGACTTTTTCTCATGCATACCTTACAAGGGTATATTTGGCTGCCCTGGGTGTTAATCTCCCACCCCCTTGCACTACACAGAGAGATATAAATATACGCCAAAGGCAGCACACTCAGAAACTTGGATTAAGGACCACATACTCAGGCCCCAGTGACACACAGAAGACACTCCACACAGCTGCTTATGAGCCCTCCCTCCCACACACTTCAGTCCCCAGTCTCCTGTAAGTACACAATCACGCACACAACTATACACACGCCCCACAACACAGTCACAACAGCCGGCCACACAGACACTCCACCACCAGCACAATCACCACACACACAATCACTCCCCCATGATTATACAGTCACATATCCGCGTGGGGTACATCCACACGGACAGGTACTCCACAGTCATCACAGAGTCACACGTTGACACACCATCACACAGCCTCCCCCTCCACAGAGCACACACACAACCACGTGGTGTTCACACAGCTGGCAGCGGGCACACAGATCACAACGCACAGCCCACAAGCGTCCCGCACGGCCGCCCCCCCGCCCCCCCCCCTTTACTCAAGGCCTCTCTGATTAAACACATCCAGCCCCTCTGCTGGTTACGTGAACAGCATTCTTCTGCGATTGAGTCAAAGACCTCCCCAGACAGAGGGGCTAAGTGGAAAAAAGGCATCAGAAGGGAGAATGCCCGAGGCCCAGGTCTGGGAAGGGGCCTGGCAGCTTCTCGCTTAGGGAGACAGCCTTCAGTGTTGAGTTTGATCCTGACACTGGTGGCCTAACGACTTGGGGGAGGAGAACGCCTTGGAGTGGGAAGAAGCAGGGCGGGTGGGGGGTGACAGGTGGAGCAAGCGGAGAGACCCCTGGAAACCTCGCAGCGTGAGGGCGGAAAGCGGTGTTAAATATGGACTGAACCTTAGAGGCTTAAACCCTCCCACGCAGTCCTCCCACCGCCCTTCCCCAGGCTCCGGACTGTCCCCAAACGTACGGCGTGTAGTGTTACCCCCTCCTCCGCCAGCCCTCGGCGACAGCTGCGGGGCACAGCGCTCAGGCGAGGGGGCATCGCAGGGCGCCGGGGCGGCGGCTGACACCCCCGAACTCCTGCGGGCGGCGGGCAGGGTGCGGGGTCCCTCGAGGTCCCCAACCCCACACCCTGCCCCCCTCCCGGGCCGGTCTGGCAGGGCAAGCGCTCTCCTGAGGCTGCGGAGATACCTTCCTCCACTGCCCCCCCGCCCCGCCCAAACCGGGACCCTCGGAAGGGAAGGGTGGAGAGAAAGAAGGTTCGGGAAGACCTCAGGGGGATTGGTTTTGGAGACGCCGACCCCCCCCATACCTCCCCCCACACCCTCCGCTGGTCGCGGGAGGGGCGGCGTCTCCCCGCCCCCGGGCCTAGCGGCCCGCTCCCTCCTCCCGCGGCGGGAGCCTGGGCCAAGTGGGCGCGCCCGGCCCGGGGCCGGCGGGATCCGGTGTCGGCTGCAGCTGGCAGTGCGGCGGACGGGCGCGGGCTGCCCGGGGGGCCACAGCTATTAATACCGCGGCCGCCCAGCCCGGGTCGCGCAGCCATGGCCAGCCCGGAGCCCCGGCGCGGCGGGGACGGCGCCGCCAAGGCCGCGAGGTAGGAAAGGACCGTCCCGGGGCCGCGCCGCCGCCCCCTGGGGAAGGGGTGCTGGACGGATCCCCACCCCCCGCGAGCGCCTTTCGCCGGGCGGGGGCGGGGGTCCAGCCTGGGTGGGGCACGGGGCGGAGCCACCCGCGAAGGGAGATCGGGGCGTCTCGTCCCGGCCTGACATCTCCGGTTGTCTGGGACTTTTTATAATTACCCCTCCCCCTCCCACGGGCGGTGCGAGGATTAACCGCTTCACACTAGCGGGCACCAACCGTGAGATGCCATTCGGCCCCCAGTGGCCAAAGACGCTACCCGTTTTCTTTCGTTGCTCACCCCAAATGCAGCTGGAGATGGAGGCCTCCAGTTGCTGAATTTGCCGTGTGGAAGAGACTTCGTGCAAGGTTGGGCGGCTGCCAGCTTGGAGTTGAGAGTGTTCAAGCAGCTGGTTCTCTCTGGTCTGGGGCTTGGGGTGGTGTTGGACGGGGCGGGGTTGGGGGGAGAGTCTACTGTCCCAGACCAGCAAGAGGGCCTTGGTTGGCAGGGGCCCTGGAGGGGAGGCCCTCTCCAACATTCAACGGTCAGCTCCGCCACTGGTTAGCGGGGAAGGGACCTGTGGCTGAAGGATTTGGGGCGAGTAGGGAGCATTTCTACCTCAGGTCAGCCTGTAACCCTGGACTTCCTCTTGTACCAAGAGGTAGAGGTGCAAACACACACACACCTGACACCCCTCCCCTGTCACCAAGGGCACAAAGCTGAGCCTTGTTTTACATGTGCACTCACCTGTACACACATAGGGGTACACACAGAGTCACACACCAACTCATGCCTGCACAGTATCACGAACACTCCCAGTCACATCCCTGATGGGCTGGGAGCTGCTGGAATCCTCTAGGGACAGGGACAAAGTGGCAGAGAGGGAGGCTGCTTGGAGCCCAAGGAAACCTGAGGTCAGGGGCCCCAGTTAAGCTGGCCCCCTTGCCCCTAGGCCTCCCATAATCTACTTTTCCCCAGCTCCTTAGAGAGAGACAGCAGTGTGAGGGCAGCACCTAGCAGAGGCCTGGCACTGTGGATGGGGCGACTGAGTGGTGTGTGGTAATAGCACTGCCTGCAAGTCAGGAGACCTGGGATCTACTTCCAGCTTTGCCACTCGACCTTGGGCAAGTTTCCTCCCTGGAGCTCAGCTGGTTGCTGCCTGCCTACCTTCTACAGAGCCCCACCCTGGGATATAGAGAGAATAACTGTACTGGTTGTTAGGAAATGGACTATCAGGGGAGACAGATACATGCTCTTCTGTAACACAAAGCACTTAGTTCAAAGATGAGCTGCCTACAAAGTGCCTTGAGAACACAAGAATGGGAGTTGTCTGGGAAATGCTTAACAGAGGAGGTGGAGTTTGAGCAGGGTTTGAAGGATGAGTAGAAATTTGTTAGGTAAATAGATATAAATATATTTTGAATGCTAGGGCCGAGCTCTATACCTGCCGTAGTTGTTTTACCTCTTTCAGACCTTATGCCTGTTCTAAGACGAGAGTGGTAAAAAGGAGCTCCAGCACTGGAGCCAGACTGCCGGCCTTTGCCAGGCTCCACCACGTACGAGTTGTAGAACTTTGAGTGAGTTCTTTACTCTGTGCTTTGGTTTCCTAATCTATAAAGTGGGGATAATGGATGAGCATCAGATAAATTAGTATTTATGGGAAACGCTTAGAATACTTCCTTGAACACAATTACGTTATTCCAGGGTGGAGTACTCAGCTGGAGCATGACGTGAGGGCCGTCTGCTGGCAAAGCAGGGACTCCGTTGAGGATCCGGGTGGGTCTGGCTAGCTGAGCAGGTGCATCCTTCCTGGCATTAGGAACTCTACTTTTCCAGGTAGTGTAGGACTGTTCTCTAGTCAGGTGGTATACAATGAACTGTATTTTCTCAGCTGGACCCTTTAGACATTGTGGGGTAAGAGTAGGAGGTAGAAAAGTTAACGCATGTTACGGGTTGTCAAGCATTGGGTGGGCTATGGGTAGTAATGTGAGATGAGGCTGAAGAGGTATGTTGAGGTCACATCTTTAAGGGCCTTAAATCTATGCTAAGCAGTTGGCTATATATGGTGAAGTGGAGCAAGATGGTTTGCTTTATATTATAGCAAGCTGCAGCACTGTCAAGAACAGACTGGGATGAGAAGGAAGAAGGCTTATGGGAAGGCTGGTACGAAAGTGCAGGTGAGGGATGATGACTCGGACGAGGGTCCTGGCAGTGAGGTGAAGAGGGAGATAGAGACTGGAGACTTTCTGAGATAGAAACGTCAGTTCTTAGTGAGTTGGCTGTTTAAAGACCACTTGTCTATCAATAGAGGGATGGATAAAGAAGATGTGGTACATATATATAATGGAATATTACTCAGCCATAAAAAAGAATGAAATAATGCCATTTGCAGCAATATGGATGGACCTAGAGATTGTCATACTGAGTGAAGTTAAGTCAGACAAAGACAAATATCATATAATATCACTTATATGTGGAATCCAAAAAAAAAAAAAAGGTACAGGGACTTCCCTGGTGGTCCAGTGGGTAAGACTCCACGCTCCCAATACAGGGGACCTGGGTTTGATCCCTGGTCAGGGAACTAGATCCCACATGCATGCTGCAACTAAGAAATCTGCATGCCACAACTAAAGATCCCACATTGCTGCAGCTAAGACCCAGCACAGCCAAAATAAATAATAAGAAGAAATAAAATATTTTAAAAAATGGTACAAATGAACTTATTTACAAAACAGAAATAGAGTCACAGATGTAAAACACAAACTTATGGTTACCAGGGGGGAAAGGGGAGGAAGAGATAAATTGGGAGATTGGGATTGACGTATACACAGTACTATATATACATAGATAACTAATAAGGACTTACTGCACAGCACAGGGAACTCTACTCAATACTCTGTAATGACCTATACGGGAAAAGAATCTAGAAGATTAGAGTGGATATATGTATATGTATAACTGATTCACTTTGCTGTACAGCAGAAACTAACACAACACTGTAAATCAACTGTACTCTAATTAAAAAACAAAAAAAAGACCGCTTGTCTCATCAGCCTGGTGTATGGTGATACATTTCTCTGAGCTGGAAAATACAGGTGTAACTAGCTCAGGGAGAAGGATAATTTGGTGGCAGTTGAGTTTGAGGTGCCAAGTAGCATCAGATGAAGATATCTAAAAAAGCACTCCAGGGCTTCCCTGGTGGCACAGTGGTTAAGAATCCGCCTGCCAATGCAGGGGACATGGGTTCGAGCCCTGGTCCGGGAAGATCCCACATGCCGCGGAGGAACTAAGCCTGTGCGCCACAACTACTGAGCCTGTGCTCTAGAGCCTGCGAGCCACAACTACTGAAGCCTGCACACCTAGAGCCCGTACTCCGCAACAAGAGAAGGCACCGCAATGAGAAGCCCATGCACCGCAGCGAAGAGTAGCCCACACTCGCTGCAACTAGAGAAAGCCCGCGCCCAGCAACAAAGACCCAACTCAGCCAAAAATAAATAAATAAATGCATTTATAAAAAACAAAAAAAGCACTTCATCTCTGGTAAAGTGAAGTGAATGGACTAGATGATTGTTGAGTTGTCATTAAGTTTTAGATTTTGGTGCAGGTGCTGGGGTTGAATGAGGCCAGTGATGTTTGGGGCCTGGTGAAGACACACTTTTGTGGTTTCCAGAGGGCCATCAGGAGATACAAAAGGGAAGCCAGGGATTCCTGGGGTGTAGAGAGGAGGACTGAGAACACGATTTAGAATAAAAATAATCTTTATTGGGAACTTGGAGCTGAGAAATAGAGCTGAAAACCTGGACACAAGTAAGCCTTTTCAAGAGAAATCAAATTCTTTGATATGTGAGGCTTTTCATTTATACTTTATATCTTAAAAAAGAAAAGTTTATTGAAAGCTACACTCAAATTTAGTCTGTTTTATAAGTGGTGCACTCTGAGTATCTGAGTTTCCTTGAGCAAATTACTTAATCTCTTTAACCTCCATTTCCTGATCTGTAAAATGGGAATAATAAATGTAACCACCTCATAGAATTGTTATGAGGATTAAATGAATTGATATATGTAAAACATTTAGAACAGGGCCTGGTATATATAAGACCTTTAAAAGTGTAATTTATTATTGTTTCCATAGTATTTTATATTTTCAAAGAATTGCTCAGAGATCCAAGGTAGGTAAGATGCATTTGAAACAGGAAAGACCAAAGCCACTTGAGGGCCAAAGCAGCAGGAGAGCATTCCTCAACAGGAACTGAGTAAGCTAGCAGGCAACGGGCAGCTGGGTTAAGGGGCTTATCTGTTAGAATCACAGAATCTGAATTCAAGAGCATTGACAGGCTAGAAGGATGGGCCAATTCCAACAAGACGAAGTTTTATAGGAACAAGAGATGTGGTTTAAAAGCACTTGGTGTGAAAAAGTCTTCAGGATTTTAGTCAAACTCAGCATTTATCAAGAATATGATGGAGCTGCCCTATATGCTAAGGGCATCTTGACTGCAACAATAGGAGTATAGTGTCCAGAGAATCACTGCTCAGAGTACACCTGGGTATTGCTTCCTATACCCATCCCCAAGGGATAGCGAGCCTGTCAACTTGGAGCCTGTCAACTTGGAGCCTGTCAGAAAGAAGTGACCCAAATGAGGAGGGTACTGGAAACCTTGGCATGCATGGAATAATTGAAGGATAGATCAGTTCTCTGTAAGTGTTCAAAGAGCTTACATGGAAGAAAAATTAGATTTGTCTGATTCTAGAAAGAAGAATCAAACCCAGGGAAAAATTGCAGGGAAGGTTTTACCTCAACACTAGAATTTTCTTATGACGGTGGAACATATAGTAGCTCAGGTGTGAGTTTCCAGTCCTTGAAGGCATGTAAGCAGAGACTCGACACTGACATCATGGGGATGGTGTCAGATCTAAGCAATGGGCTGTGTCGGGGTGTATCGATGGAGGGAAGGGGCAGACGTGTGCTCTCTGAGATGTGAGAATTTGATATAAATTAGGCCTGTGTCCTACTGGTTCCAGTCACAAACCATCCCAGGATTGTGGCTGCCCTCTCACCTTGTCATTTCTCTTGCAGGAATACAAGAGCAGAGGCCACTTCTCTGCAAGAGGAGAACTCTGAATCCCCGTATGAGGTGGGGACCTGGAACCCAGAAGTTACTCTGTCTTTGGAAGGGACCTTGAACTTAGAGGATATTCTCTACCCGGGGGACACAGGTAACTTTGATGTGGCTATGTATGTGGAAGAAACCGAGAAGCCTGAGGAGACGCTGCATATTGAGGAGACCAGGACGCCTGATGAGGCCCTGTATGTGGAGGAGCCAGGAAAGCCAGAGGAGATGCTATATGTGGAAGAGCCCGTGAAGCCGGGGAAGACTACAAGCCCAGAGCAGATGGTTTATGGGGGAGAGACAGTCCCGAGTGAGGAGAAACCTAACCCCGAGGAGAGCCTCAGAGCTGGGCCGAGTCCCAGCACAGAGGGGAGGCTGAGCACAGAGGACCTGGAATTGCTGGAGGGGCGTTTCCAGCAGTGTGTCCAAGCCGTGGCCCAGCTGGAAGAGGAGAGGGATCAGCTCATCCATGAGCTTGTGTTGCTCCGGGAACCAGCCCTGCAGGAGGTGCAACGGGTCCACCACGACATCCTGGCTGCCTACAAACTGCACGCCCAGGCAGAGCTGGAGAGGGATGGGCTGAGGGAGGAGATCCGACTGGTCAAGCAGAAGCTGTTCAAGGTGACGAAGGAATGTGTGTCCTACCAATATCAGCTGGAGTGCAGCCGGCAGGACGTGGCCCAGTTTGCCGAGTTCCGGGAAGTGCTGACCGCCCGGGCAGCCCAGCTCTCGGAGGAATTAGCCCAGCTTCGGGATGCCTATCAGAAGCAAAAGGAGCAGTTACGGCAACAACTAGAAGCACCTCCAAGCCAGAGGGATGGGCACTTTCTCCAGGAGAGCCGGCAGCTCTCTGCCCAGTTCGAGAACCTCATGGCAGAGAGCCGCCAGGGCCTGGAGCAGGAGTATGAGCCTCAGCTGCTGCGGCTCCTAGAGAAGAAAGAAGCTGCGGCCAAAGCTCTGCAGAAAATCCAGGCCGAGATCCAGGAGATGAAGGAGGCTCTGCGACCCCTGCAAGCAGAGGCCCTTCAGCTCCAGCTACAAAACAGGAATCTGGAGGACCAGACCACCCTTGTGAGGCAAAAACGAGACGAGGATGTGCAGCAGTACAGGGTAGGCCCACTTGGCATGAAAGGAAGTACAGTCTTTTAGCCTGGGGAGGAAAAGGGGATCGGGGCCGAATGTCTTTGGGCTGAAGGATACTAGCATATGTAGGAAGAACAATTTGTTCCTTGGGCCATTCACTCACTTCTTTATGCCATTTTCCATTTCATTCATTCAGGCCTGTGCTAGGGCTGAAAGTTATCTTGCACTCTTAATTTACACAGCACTTTTACACCAATTATCTCACTTGATCTTCATTAATCCTCCAAGTCAACTATTATCATTTTTCATAGATGAGGAAACTGAGGCCCAGTGAGTTGGAGTAATTTGAACTCTAGTCTGACCACCCCCAAATATTTCAGTGCTCTTTCCACGGCACAAGTTTCCAATTCTAAGTGAATCACACTTGGGTTTATATAGAGCAGGAGGGAATGAGGCTAGGTAGTATTCATTCTCTCCCCTCTCCCATATTCACCCTCAAGCCCCACCTATCTGATCTCTGCCTTGAAGTTTTTCCAGTCTTAAAAAACCGGGATGAAATCTATAAATCTCAATTCCTCGTTTTCCTTTTTTGTGCATTTGTCACCATTTCACTTGTATTCAAGCTATTTCTGATCGTGAGCCAGTTCTAATCCCTTTTAGAACAGAGTGGGAGACGAACACTAAGTGCATAAACAAGTCTCTCTCCCCCACAGACTGTGAGCTTTCGGAAGGTAGGGAGTATGTTTTACTTATCTCTGCCACCAGGCTCAGAGTATGCATCAGTTAGGCACTGACTTAAGAGCTGCTGGGCACCATGAGAAGACCACAGTGTGGTGCTTTTCAGAGCAGTACTTTTGTCTTTTGGAGCCCCCCTTTTTTTGGATGAACTTAATCTTATGCCCTACCAGAGATTTTGACGTATCCTTAAGGGAACATGTCCTCTGTTGAAAATGGCTGCATTTACTTCACTGAAGATTTTGTCAAGCTTTCTGTAGTTGTATTATGAAAACGGTGGGGTTTTTTGGTCATAATATTGAACGTTTTCAAACTATACATATATGCACTCCCCTCACTCACCCAACACTGCCCGCCGCCTTCACTGCACTGCTTTTTTACTGGGTCACAATCTAGTGAAAGGGCACTAATTATCTTTGCAGAAACAAATACTAACCTTAACAGCTTACACTCAATCAAATGTTACATTAACAATTGTAACCCAGGGTAGGAAGTAACGTGATTTAAGAGAGGTACAAATAAGAATGCTATGGGATAATAGTCGTGGATTAAATCAGAGAACCCATAACGGAAGACAATGTTATTTGAGCTAAGTGTTGAAGTATAGGTAAGATCTAGAGCAGTGCTGTCCAACAGAAATATAACGCAAGCCACATATATAATTTGAAATTTTCTAATAACCACATAAAAGAGAAATAGGTGAAGGTAATTTTAATATACTTTATTTAATCTAATAGATCTAAAATATAATTTGTAACTTGGCTGCATGTGAAAGGTGAAAAACTGAGAGGTGAGTTGAACCTGTAAAGGTAAATCGGGGCAGATCACATTGGATTTTGAAATCTGAACTAGGGAGTTTGGACTTTATTCAGTGGTCAGTTGCATCCATAAAGGTTTTTTTTATTTTTAAGAGCTTCTTTTTATTTTGTTATTTATTATTTATTCATTAAAATTTATTTTTGGCTGTGTTGGGTCTTCGTTGCTGTGCGTGGGCTTTCTCTAGTTGTGTTGAGCGGGGGCTACTCTTTGTTGCGGTGCGCAGCCTTCTCATTGCGGTGGCTTCTCTTGTTGCAGAGCATGGGCTCTAGGCGCGCAGGCTTCAGTAGTTGTGGCACACAGGCTCAGTAGTTGTGGCACAAGGGCTTAGTTGCTCTGCCGCATGTGGGATCTTCCCGGACCAGGGCTTGAACCCATGTCCCCTGCATTGGCAGGCGGATTCTTAACCACTGCGCCACCAATGAAGTCCCCATAAAGGTATTTAATCAAGGGATTAACATGATCGTTGCTCTCCTTTTAGAAACAGTATTGGTGGCAGTGTGTAAAATGGGCTAGAGACCCAAAGGCAAGGAGACTAATTAGGAAGCTACTATTGGTAAAAGGAAACAATGGTAGCAGGAATAAAAGGAAGGGGAAGGTTACAAGAACAAATGTAGAATAAACTTGGCTACAGAATGAGTGGGGCAGAGAGGTGAGACGTCAAAGAGGATGCTTAGATTTCAGGCAAGACTAACTAGGATGGTGGTGCTCTAAGTAAGGAATCCTCAGGATTAGAATTTTCTGACATAGTACTAGAGTTGTAGAACTTTTTCCCCAGTGATTTTCGTCACTGTACTGGATTTGTTTCAGATTTGATGATCTGTGCACCTTTCCAAAGATCATTCTATAGAAAACAATCTTGATGGGTGTCTCCTATCGCCATACCATAATTAAAGTAGGAATAAAGGTATGAAGGAGCTAATTCTTCTCTTTCTTTTCTTTTTTTTTTAAATTTATTTTATTTATTTATTTTTGGTCGCGTTGGGTCTTCGTTGCTGTGCGCGGGCTTCCTCTAGTTGCGGCAAGCACAGGCTACTCTTCGTAGCGGTGCGCGGACTTCTCACTGCAGTGGCTTCTCTTGTTGTGGAGCACGGGCTCTACACACGTGGGCTTCAGTAGTTGTGGCTCGCGGGCTCTAGAGCGCAGGCTCAGTAGTTGTGGCGCACAGGCTTAGTTGCTCTGCGGCATGTGGGACCTTCCCGGACCAGGGCTCGAACCTGTATCCCCTGCATTGGCAGGCGGATTCTTAACCACTGTGCCACCAGGGAAGTCCCAATTCTTCTTTCTGAAATGGCTTCTTCCTAAACTGTTTGCCAAAGGCCATGTATGGCATCTGATTACTTTTCAAGGGTACGCTTCACTCTTATGACTATAAACTTTGCCTCTTTCATCACCATCATCCATTCATTTGACAAATATCTTCTAAGTGCCTATTTTCTATGGGCCAGGCAATGAGCTATGTGCTGGCAAGGGATGAGACGCTGTGGTGAAGGGTGGAGGTGGGGGGCAGCTCCTGTCCTCAAAAAGTTGATAGTCCAATTAAAATATAATAATAATAATAAATAAAATGAACAAAAAATAAAAATTAAACAGAAAAAGAAAAGAATAAAAGTGTATAGTCCAGGAAGGATGCCAGATAAAATTTCATAAAATCTAATACACTTGATCGTAAGATGCATCCTGATCCAAGTAAGATGTTAAATAATTAATATGCTTCAGTGTGATAGACAATGTAATAGTTGTAGGAATAAAGCATTGTACTGAAGCAGGTATAATTACACCTGGGGAGATAAGAGGGAAATTTCATTAGAGGATTAACAATAGCTAGCATGTACGTGAAGTTCTTTACATGTAATAGTTCATTTAATTCTTACATCTGAGATAGGTATAACTGCTGTCACCATTTGAAAAACAAGAAAACAGGTGAGTCAGAGAAGTCATCTGTCCAGGGTTACACAGCTAGGAAGTGATGAAGGAAGGATGTAACCCTGTGCCATCTAGTTCAAGTCCACACTCAACTACTACAGGGTGTTTGAGCTGAGCCTTAAAGAATGAATTCACTGTGTAGACAAGGGAAGGGTATTCCAGGCAGAGGGAACAGCTTATACAAAAGCATGAAAACACAAACGTTGTTATGGGAAGTGAGAAGCTCAGTGTGGCTGGATCATAAGGAATGTGAGAAGTAGAGAGATGAGGCTGGAGAGGTAGATTGGGACCAGATTGCAAAGGGCTTTATGTATTCTTTTTTTTTTTTTTTGCGATATGCGGGCCTCTCACTGTTGTGGCCTCTCCCGTTGTGGAGCACAGGCTCCGGACGCGCAGGCTCAGCGGCCATGGCTCACGGGCCCAGCTGCTCCGCGGCATGTGGGATCTTCCTGGACCGGGGCACGAACCCGTGTCCCCTGCATTGGCAGGCTGACTCTCAACCACTGCGCCACCAGGGAAGCCCGGCTTTATGTATTCTTTAGGTCAGTGGTTTTCCTAAAAAGGTTTTCTTCAAAGCCACAGACCCTTTCCCCAAAACAATTTTATATGGAATGCCAACATGTAAAACAAGTAAAAGTAGAGCTACTGTCTAACTAAAGACTGACAAGGTCACTCCAGCATGGCCTCCTCCTGTGGTTTCCTGGAAAACAGTTTGAAGACCATTTAAGAGCCTATCTATTATCTATCTATTATCTACCTATCATCTATCTATCTTTCATCTATTTATCTATCATCTATCTACCTATCATGTATCATTTGTCTACCTATCATCTATCATCTATCAATCTATCTATCATCTATTATCTATCATCTATCTATCATCTATCTTTCATCTATCATCTGTCAATCTATCATCTATCTTTCATCTATCATCTATCTATCTATCATCTATGTCTACTTTTATATCTATCTATATGAAGGCAATAAAGCAATTAAGAGTATGAGCTGTAAGTCAGTGGCAAATCCTGGCTCTACCACTTACTAACTGGGAAACTTTGGACAAATGACTTAACCTCTGTGGTTCAGCTTCCTCACATGTAAAATGGGATTAATAGGGCTGTTGCAAGGAATGAACTAGTTAATATCTGTAAAGTGCTGCTAATGGTGCCTGCCACGTAGTTACGTACTCTAAGTGGCAGTGTGGAGAGCCCGGAAACACCACTTAGAGGAGAGATGAGAGATGTGAAGTTAAATGGGTAGCATTTGGTGACTGGTGGCAGTGGGCGGGGTGAGGAATGTGCTGAGAATGATCTCAGAGTTTTTAGCTTGAAACTGGTAGACTTCTAAGGCCAAAAGGTGGAATATGCTTTTACTATCTGCATGCTTCACCTCAATGAGCATTATGTGTAGGGTGCCGGACATACTAAGAACCAGGAGCCTACCATCTGGTCGGGAGTTAGACATGAACAAAAAAAAGATTTCAATATAAGGGAACAGATGCTATCTAGGTGACAGAAATGGCAGGAGTAAAGGCACAGAAATCTGACTTGGTCAGACTAGAGCAGCACTCTCCAACAGAAGTATCATGCAAGCCACAGATGTCATTTAAAAATTTCTAGGGGAACTTCCCTAGCGGTCCAGTGGTTAAGCCTCTGCGTTTCCAACGCAGGGGGCGTGGGTTCAATCTCTGGCTGAGGAACTAAGATCCCACATGCCACACAGCGTGGCCAAAAAAAGAAAAAAAAATTCTAGTAGCCACATTAAAAAAAATGTAAGAAACAGGTGAAAATAATACATTTAACCCAGCATAGCAAAAATATTACCACTATAATTCGTAATCAACATTAAAATTTGAGAGATATATATATATACACACACACATATATATATATTTGGTGTCAAGTCTTAGAAATCTGCTATGTATCTTACACTCACAGCACGTCGCAGTTCAGACTAGCCATATTTCAAGTACTCAGTAGCCACATGGGGCTAGTGACTTCCATACTGGACAGTGCAGACTACAGGAATAATGGAGGTTCTAGTTAGAAGTAAGGGTCCAACTAGCAGGAGTCTGAATGCCAGACTAAAGAAAATGGAAAGCCTATGAAAGATTGAGATGATAAAGCAGGTTTGTTTTGTTTTGTTGTTTTAGTTTTTTTTTTTGGTCACGCCGTGCGGCATGTGGGTTCTTAGTTCCCCAACCAGGGATCGAACCCGTGCCCCCTGCAGTGGAAGCATGGAGTCTTAACCCCTGGACCGCCAGGGAAGTCCCAATAAAGCAGTTTTTAAAAAGTTAACCCAGTGGTGCTACACAGGATTAAGAATGGAGATTGTCCTTAATTTCTGTCACTGTACAATACTTCCTTCATTCTGTGACAGTTTCTCCCTGTCAACAGCTTATCAGTGATGGTGCAGACAGCCTTCACAAGCAGGTCTTTTGTATATCCAGCAAACAACAGGTTTGCTAGATGGTGAGGCTTGGGAAACTGGGGCACAGAGGTATGCAGATGCTTTCCTTTAGATAACATGCTCTTAGATTGTAAGGCTACATCTCTGTGTGGTATCAAAGCATGGCTAGGCACTAAAAAAGACCTTTGACAATGTTGATGAAAGTTGAGATTCAGCCAGAGTATCAAAACACTGCAGATTGACAGGCCACAAGTATATCAAGTGTGACTCAGTGAACAAATTATTTAGATCCTTCTAATGACAGTATGCACCTAAACTGGATTCCTATTGTTCTTCAAAATCTGAGGTAAAGTCATTGCTCCTTAAAGATGTGCCTTCCAATTTCAATGCTCCCTTCCTTTCCCAGCTACCCCATGGATCCTGAGGATCCATGTCAGCTAGCAACCAAGGCACAGACTGATTTGCTGACATCTTCATTCCTCAGGCATTAATCCTAGGCAGAGACAATTTACAGAATGCATCCTGCCTGGTTTTGGCAGAATGGCAAATAGTTATCTGAAGACCCCTGAGGGCCTCCAGGGCATAGCGCCTTCATCTTCCAACTTTAGAACGAATTGTCCTGATGTAATAAGCAAAGGATATAGGAAATTAACAACTCTGATACCCTCACTAATAAAGCATCTATCTGCATGCCATGTTGTGGTAAGTACTAAGTAAAGATATCTCCGACTTCAAGGAGATTCAAATATAATATTCAAGAATAATTGCTTAGGGCTTCCCTGGTGGCGCAGTGGTTGAGAGTCCGCCTGCCGATGCAGGGGACATGGGTTCGTGTGCCGGTCCGGGAAGATCCCACAGGCCACGGAGCAGCTGGGCCCGTGAGCCATGGCCGCTGAGCCTGTGCATCTGGAGCCTGTGCTCTGCAATGGGAGAGGCCGCAACAGTGAGAGGCCCGCGTACCGCAAAAAGAATAAAAAATAAATAAATGTAGTGATTAAAAAAAAAAAAGAATAATTGCTTACACAAAGACTTGGTTTCTTTCAACTTAAATTGCTGAAGTTGTTGGGCATTATAAAGACTACTGATTATTAATGGAAACAAACTTGTACATAGAGCAAGGGGTCTATAAAATTCTTAGTTCACCACTAGATAATCAAAATCCTCCCCGACACTTTTTTAACTTATTTTTGGCTGCGTTGGGTCTTTGTTGCTGACTTCGTTGCGGGCTTTCTCTAGTTGCGGAGAGTGGGGGCTACTCTTCATTGCGGCGCGCAGGCTTATTGTGGTGGCTTCTCTTGTTGCGGAGCACGGGCTGTAGGCACGCAGGCTCAGTAGTTGTGGCACACGGGCTCAGTAGTTGTGGCTCGCGGGCTCTAGAGTGCAGGCTCAGTAGTTGTGGCGCACAGGCTTAGTTGCTCCGTGGCAAGTGGGATCTTCCCGGACCAGGGCAGGCAGATTCTCAACCACTGCACCACCAGGGAAGCCCCCGACACTTCTTAAAATTGGGAAACAAAAAAGTCCCTCTGAAAATCTGTCCACCCTTTGCAGGATTTTAAGATGTAAGCTGTGGTTAACAGAAAAGACTCCTTTCAGAACAGTATCACTGTCAAAAACAGTATCACTGCCAAAACACAAATTCTCTGAATCTGTTTCTCAACCTCAATACTGCTATGGAGATTAAACAATGTGTAAGGAAATGTACTATTATGGACAATGTCAGGTTTTTGTTGTTTGGTGCATTAGAAATGTTCTTGGCCCTCATGCAGGAACAGCTGGAGGAAATGGAAGAACAACAGAGGCAGCTAAGAAGCGGGGTGCAACTCCAGCAACAGAGGAACAAAGAGATGGAGCAGCTAAAGATCAGCCTTGCTGAAGAGCTCTCAACGTACAAGTCAGTTTTTGCTGCTACCCAAATCTCAACTAACACAGGCTGAGGGAATGGTGGGGAGGGCAGATGTTGCTCAGGGGAAATTTCTCTTGACAGTGAAAAGCAAAAAAAAAAGAAAACTGGGGGAAAAATTTCAAATTATGCTCATCCGTGAACAGATGGAAAATGGCTCTTTTTTTTTAAACAGCTATGCTACCCAAGAGCCTGGAACAGGCTAATGCTCCCACTTCTAAGGCAGGTGGAATCCAGACACAGCCGCAAGGTGATCCTTGTAGGTTACAAGAGCAGTGTCTGCATTGTTGCTGCTTTCCTAACCTAACAAGACTAGTGCCTTAGAAAAAGATCGTGTGTCTCATGACAAGTAAGTCATTTAGGGATAACACATACTTCCAGGTTGCCTGGTTCAAGCATTCAGGCTTCATTTGGAATGTTTCAATTTCTAGTAGGACTTAAAATATGTCCTGATTATCATCAGGAAATCCAGAACAGGATAAAACATCTAGGCTCTGTGCATTCTTACTTTCCTCACCCTACGGGACCCCATCTGCTATTCATAAAGTTTCCTTAGAATAGCAGAGAAGGCAGTTAGGGTACCTAATTCAGACTATGACTAAGGAAGCCAAGAAGGCTAAATTAATCTGTTAACAGTCATTTACAAAGCTGAAGAGGGTGTTGTTTGTAGACTAAAGGACATGATTATTGCTTAATTTGTGAAACAAGCAACACACCTATCCATTAAGTTCTTTACATACCAATATGTCCTCACATTCTTTATAAAGTGCTAGATTCTCTTGGATAAAGAAACTAAGGATTAAAAAAGATCAAGTTGGATACTAGATAAATATCCATAAATTTTTATTAATTTCCTAGTTAATCCTACATTTTGTATACAAATTCACAAATAACTATTATTACTGATGCTTTTCCTAAATTACTAGGATTTTTTTTTTTCTTTGGCCAGCCTGCATGGCTTGCAGTTCCATCAGGGATTGAACCTCGGGCCACAGCAGCGAAAGCGCTGAATCCTAACCACTAGACCATCAGGGAACTCCCATACTAGGATTTTCTTTTACCATGTTTCATCCAGGCATAACTGACTATGCCCATTGTTTGGGAGATTACTAGAACCTTGTAACCGAAGAAAATTATCTGCTAAACACCTTTGTGTGGATAAGATGAAAAGTACATGGAAAAGACAATGATTAATCCAAAGAATCGAAATTACAGAATTTCAGGCCTTGTAATACCTGTGTGTAAAGTTAACGTGGGCAGAAAAACTTTTTGGCTAGCCCTTCCCAAAGTCATCCTTGATTAGATGCAAAACACGCTCTAGCAATCTCTCCTCAATATGGCCTGCACTAAGCTTCAGAAATTCATTATTAAAAACTTTATACTGGGAATTCCCTGGTGGTCCAGTTAGGACTCAGCGCTTTCACTGCTGTGGGCACAGGTTCAATCCCTGGTCAGGGAACTAAGATCCCACAAGCCATGCAGCATACCCAAACAAAAAACCCCCAAAAAACCAACAAAAAAACCCCACAAAAACTTTATACTGTATTATTTCAAGTTGCAGAAAGTTTAAACTTATCCTTTTTTCTCTCAACCTTACAGGGGCTGTTTAGAAACATATGGCCGAATCTGTAACCAAGACACAACAAAAAAAACTTCTTAGCAAAGGATCACTGAGTACCCTTTGGACATACTTTTTTCTAAACAGAGAAGGGAGTGCCAGGGATTTGGCAAGCAGTTCACTCTGGGAAAGTTACAAATACTGGCTGACCTGTTTAAAAAGATTCTAGGGCTGGCTGGAGGCAGAATACTATCAGTCAACTCTTAGCTGGATTCTATTTCATAGGCTGCTGGTACTGATTTCAATGCACTGAGAAATGGAAAAATAAGTCTCCTGTAACCCATCAGCAACCCTCCACACGCACAAAGTAAAGGAAGAATGTATGGACACACCTTGCTGTATTGTGAAGAATGTATCTTACCTTCTGTTGACCCAAAGCAGAAAGTTTTTCAGACACACAGGTGGAGTCAAAAAGGCAGACGATTTTCCTTATATTCAAGTTGACCCCTGAACAATGTGGCGGTTAATCTGCACATAACTTAGTTGGCCCTCGGTATCTGAGGTTCCTCCACATCCACGGACTCAACCAACCACTGCAGGTATTTACTATTGAAAAGTATGTTGTAAGTGGACCTATGCAGTTCAAACCCACGTTGTTCAAGGGTCAACTGTACATGGGTTTACAATTTGAATTCCTTTGTGCCATGAATGTTAGACTTTAATTGAATCCCTTTACAAAGTTTACTTTTCTTTAAGTCTGTGCTGATTCATGTAGATTTACTCATGTGTCATGGTAATTTTCACTATACTCTAAAAGAACTACTGGGCTTCCCTGGTGGCGCAGTGGTTGAGAGTCCGCCTGCCGATGCAGGGGACGCGGGTTCGTGCCCCGGTCCAGGAAGATCCCACATGCTGCGGAGCGGCTGGGCCCGTGAGCCATTGCCGCTGAGCCTGCGCGTCCGGAGCCTGTGCTCCGCAATGGGAGAGGCCACTGTTGTGGCCTCTCCCATTG